GCAATATTTAAAGCACAAAGACTTTATTTACAGTTTTATTTTAATATAATAACCAGATCCAATGGACCTAACATAAGATGAATTTATGTTAATTTAACCAACCAGCGTTCTCATCAATCATATATATTTTGGGGAAAATGTAAACATTATTGCCTAAAGTACCTTATATACATCTGATAGTTGATCTTAACAAAGGGCTTTAACAATCTCAAAAGGTAAAGCTGATAAAAGGGTACTATATTTTGGTTTACTTTATTTAGCCTTAAATTATATATTAATAATTTTAAATGTAAACTCAGGGAGTTAGTAAAATCAATTATCTTACATAAGTAGTCTCCTCTCAATTTAACAAAAAAAAAAGTTGAGCTTTACATCATTGCTATTTCATTAGGAAGTTATCTAACATTTTATGGGACTATTTTAATAAACCCCAGGAGTTTTGAAATACTGTTTTTCCCTTGAAATGTTATTTGACATCTGATGAAAATAGTTTCTCCTTGAAAAAAATGTTTTGGAAAGCCTATTTTTAGGAAATGAAAATTTGAAATCCAGTGTCTTTAAAATAACAAAAACATGTCAGGACAAGAATTTGAAATAAATTGCAGAAATAGTGCTGATGGGTATATATGAATGTGTATGTACGAATATATATATATATGAATTACATATAATATATACACACATACACACTTATGTAAGTAGTAGACCTGCATTTTGATGCATACACACATATACCCACTTCGCTGGGCCCAAACATGCACTAGCAAGTTATTTTAGGGCATCAACTCTTCAGAAAATCTCATTATGTGAGGAGCGCAGTGGCTCTGCGGGGAGCATTATGGAAATATCTGGGCTTGATTTAATGAGGCTGTTCACATTGGTGGAATATCAACTTAACAGAGAAAAGTCTGCCCAGGGCGTCCAAGTTACCAAAATGAAAATTGGCAATTGAGATGATAAGAACGTGGCTTTCTTCTGCGAAATCACTTCAGGTAACAGAGATAACATTAAATAACATACATTCTATGCACCAAGAACAATGTTTTATGTACCGAGTCTCTTATCCGTCTCTCCTAATGACTTCCCTTAGCGGGTTGTTAGTGCTTGACAGCAGGTCTCCGTGCGGGGAACTTTTCTCCAATTCCACATTCAAAGGAGGTCCATCAGAGAGCATGATTGGCAATTTTCGTCATAATCTGCACATTATTAGCATCAAAATTGACGTGGCAGTAACACTGGTGGGTTTTGATGTGCCTTTCTTCAAGTTCAAGGAAACCCCTCCAGTAGCCGGGGTTGGCAGAGCGGGTCTCAGCAACCCAGCGGTGGCTTTGCAGGGCGAAGGCGCAATAGGCATGCGTGAGAAATATGCCAAGAACCATTTTACCCGAGGAAAAGGAAAATGAGGAAGGAAGGGGGGTGAGGGGAGGAGAGAGTTCGAATTTAAAAAAGTGTCTAAGGAAGTGCTTCAGGATCATGTTATATATTAGATATTCAAGTATTTCTCAGATCGAGTGGAACCGGGTACACAGAAAACTGAACTGAAAACGTCTCTCCAAATCCCACAAAGATTTGTCAATCTTGCCCAGTCTTTTCGTTCCCTTCCCTTCTCTTCCTAGACCTAGGTGTGGCAGCCTTATTAACTATCGCAGTTTGCATAAAACATTTAAGATCCTTCCATTCCTTTAGCACTGAAACCAAAGGCCTGAAAGAGAGAAAGGTGTACGCGGGAGGCGCGACCGCCACCCCTTCCTACCTGGGCTTTGTCCTTCCCTGGGAAGGCTGCCACAGTTCCACCGGCCTGGCTCCCACACACGGTAAACAATCTCACAAACACACCCGCAGCCTCCTGCGCTCTCCAGTCGCTCTCTGGACCTTCTCAGACCTCCACTCTGTCTCCTCCAACAGGGCCCCTAACCAGACCAGGCTGTAAGAACAACTGCCACCTCCCCCTCCCCTCTGTTAAAAACACGGGAAGGATGAGAAGAAAGAGCAGCAGCAGAAGTCGGGGTGGGGGTGGGAGTGGGGGTGGGGGTGCTGACTCCCCCCCTCTCCCCTCCCCCCTGCACAAAGCACTAGTGCACAGCATTCCTCTTGGGTTTTTTTTGTCGTGGCTCTCCGTTGCTCTCGCCCCGCGGTTCAGCGAGTCACTGAAGCGCGTACAGCGGGGTTCGCGACTCGGAGGGGGCGGATTGTCTTCGGGGAGACCAAGAGCTCAGAAATGAGGAGGGAAGTGGGGCCCGGACGGCCAGAAACACAGAGGAGAGGCGGCTGGGTGGCAAATACAAAAATAGAAATAATTTGTGGGATTGGGGGCGCTCGCCAGACTTTTCCCCCCAAAATCGGGGCAGGTTCCCTGCAGCCTCTCGCGCCCCGGGGCGCCCCCTGGCGGCAACGGTAGCAGCGGGCAGCGTGCATGTAGGGCGCGAAGACGCAGCAGGAGCACTAAAGATCCCGGCACACGCAAAGGGGCGGGCGCGGCCCCCTGGCGGCGGCGGCGTAGTTATCTGGTGAGCGGCGCCTCGTCCCTCTGGTCCGGTGGGCTCACGGCGGTCTTGCTGAGCACCGCGGCCGAATAGGGCAGAAAGCCGCTCTCAGAGCGCGGCGCCGCGGCGCTGCAGCCGAAGTCCGAGCCTCC